AGTATATACACATAAACAAACTTTATCTGTTACATGTAGAACTGTACACGCGGTCCTCAGTCACAGATATATATACATGTACATGTAGTACATTGTCACGCACAACCTATTAAATGTAAATATTTATAAAATACAAAATATCTACATGTATACTATAAAATTAGTTTATTCATGCACCAATTAAACATGCGTGTTGCTTTAAACGAACGCAGGCGTGGGTTCCTCTACTTTTAAAGAAAGCCAAGGGCCCGTTAAAGAGAGAGAGAGAGAGGATGTACAAATCAGACATGATTTTAGACATATGGTCAATTGACTGCTCCTACTGACAGTGCATGTAATGTAGGGGGCCTACCTATAAAAATATATTTCTAAAGGCAGTTATATAGTACAGATTATTAAACATGATTAAATGGTCAATAATTAATATCATGGTGAAATTATACCAATACATGGGGCAAGACAATGTGATTTATGTGACATTCACTGTCATTTTCATTGGTAAGAGGCTTAGGGTTGTTGACGAAATTTATTCTACTGAAATAAAAGCAAATTTCATACTTATCAGATGATTTCATAGATATAAAAATGATTTCAAAGAAAAGTCCATCTATAACATGTATAAGGAAAGATTTGTGTGTCCTTTAGTTAACACATAATGTCGCACATGGATTAAGCCTTATAATTCTGTATCAAAAGTTAAGTTATTAAAAAAAATATATTATTGACTGCTTAACCCAACAACTCTTACTAATTAACCTGTTACTGAAATAATTGATGAGTAAGAAGAAAAACAAGTGAAAATAAATTGAAATAAGGAGAAGAAACAGGGTCTAGATGGCTAATTTAGTTGTCTTTGATATCTCGAACCCAATATCTTGAATACCAGGGATATGTCAAAGAGAGTTGTCTGTCCCAACCATGTTCTTAATGTTTTTTACATTTAGTTATCTCAAATCTTTGGATACTTTTAGGTTTGATTTTAATTTGGTCCTATCAAGTTCGAGATAACATTTAGGTTTGACTGCAGGTATATCAAGTAACTCAACAGCTCACTCTGCTACATGCAAGACAATTTCCTTGATTGAATATTGCTATTATAATACCTGGGTATCTACATTAACTAAGAACTGCATGTTGATCTAATTTTTTACCAAGATTTAATTGACAATTTTTAGTACAAAATAAATCCTATACCATTTCAATTAGAATTTTAGATTCAAAAAGTTGACAAATGGAGAAATATTGACATCTTGTACAAGTTGCAACTTTCACCCCCCAATTTAGGCTCACTGAGAGTCTTAAATTTTGTAATGTATGTTATTAATATATGTTATTTTTGTAAACTGATGGGCTGTATTGCCCAAAATTACATCCTGAATAAGCTTATATACATTCTACTGCAAAGTAAATACAAAAATTTAGATTTCTGATGAATTACACAGTGCTTGTCAGTGAATTTTCATCTTGATTTTGGGGTAATTTTAAAAGGATTTGTTTGGGACTGGGTCCCAGCTGGCTTCTAATGGACCTACATGCATCAGATATATACACATGTATACATAGCAATAGATACATGCAATCTCTATAATACAGTGAAATTAATGGTGTTTACTAGTTAGGTCAACTGTCATTAGGTGTGTTGGGTTTCATGGGTTTTTTTTTTTTTATGTACATGTACAAAGATTGCTGTTGAGGTTTGGTCAGTTAAAAAAATGTAATATACAAGGGATATTTTAAAGTGATTAATACATACAAGTTTTGGAATTAAAGATATGATTGTCATCTTCATTATCTCAAACCCTCAAAAGTTTCAGAAATCAAGCAACAGCTATACTTTTTAAGGAGGCTGGGGGGTCGACAAATTGACCATCAGATATATAACTTAATTTTTTTAGATATGATATTTTAAGCTGTCAACTATCATTTGGCAAACAAAAATTTCATACATTTTAGTTTTAAAATTTGATCAGTTTTGTATATCTTTATATGGAGCTCTTCTTCTAAAGGAGATCAATATAGTCTGAAAATGGCCACAACCACCCAGCCCTCTTAACTGCATTCAGTCAATATGCTTTAATTTCTTTGAAGTAGTATACTTATTATTTTGTGATATTTAGGGCCTTTCATGGAATGCGGGAAAACAATTAGAATCGCATTGTCCATCCATCAACACTTTGTTTTTACACGATAAGTCAAACAATTTTTAAATTTTGTACAGAAGTTAATTCTTTACAATGAAAGGAGAACCTATATCATACAATCAGATTATACTTGTGAACAGTCTGGGTAATTGGGAGTGATCCAGTTGTTGATAGCAGATTTAATTTTATTTAATTTTTTTTTTAATAATACAAATTGTTTGAAAGTTAGCATTAATAAAATATTATCAGGTGGAGATGTAAATGGAAGGATTATTAGTAGGTTGTACATGTATGAACATCTCCACTGACAGAACCAGAAATTAATCTTTTTTTTTTTTTTTTTTTTTTTTTTTACAAATTGTTTTGTTGTTCCCCTTGATTTCTTCTGCTGCCATTTTCAACATACACTCATTTAGGTGCTGGTTCCAAGGAAACAACTGAATCAATGCTGTTGGCTTAGATGTGATTTTTAAGTTAACCTAATTTTTTTTATTCTGCTCTCAAATTTTATGCTATTGTCAGTGCATAACGAACAAGTGTAGATGCTGGAATTAATGAGAGTACATGATAATGAATTCTTTCATCTGCATTTTTTAAATTTCTAATTTTATTTCCTTATAATATTTAAAATCAAAAATACATTACATGTGTTTACAATTTAATAACAGGTATTAGGGATAAAAATCTTAAGTTGTGGATCCAAAGGAAGAGGAACTTTTTCTAATCACATACAATGTATGTATTGATTTAATTTGAAGAAAAAATATTCAAATATAGATCCAGAGAATTTTGTGGTGGATCCAAGGGTCTAATCTTTTGAGAGGGGGATCCAAGGGGAGTGGGAAATATATTATGAATTAAAAAGTTTGAGATATTAAAAGTATTTTATATTTAAGAATAAATGATTTTTGATATATATGTTAAACCTATGAATAATTGAGAACATCAGACATGTCTAATGTTCATGGCTCTTTATCGAAAGGGAGAGGAATGTAGCTTTATCTTATAATATGAAGTTTTGTTTTAAGCATAATGTCAAAGTTACATAACTTTAAGCTCAATATAAGTGAATTATATAGATCCAAAGAATTAAGTGATGGATCATAGGATCCAGGTTTTTGAATGAGGGATCCAAGGGGAGTGGGGAATAATTTATCAATTTAAAAAAAAAGAAAGAGATATTCATGAAAAAAAATTTGAAATATAGCTATGTAACTCTTCTGTATGGGAGATAAGAAAAATTTATCCTTTATATAAATGAGTCATATATTATATATAGGTTTGAATTATATATAGATTCAAAGAATTTAGTGGTAGATCCAAGGGTCTATTCTTTTGAGTGGGGGATCCAAGGGGAATGGGACATAATTTTTTAATTAATTTATAAACAGCATTTGCATATCCTTATATTTGAAAAAAAAGATATTACATGTGTTTACAATTTGATAACAAATAATAGGATCAATTAAATTTTAAATAAGTTGTGGATCCAAAGGAAGAAGAACTTTATCTAATCACATATGTGTTGATTTAATTTGAAGAAAAAAATATTCAAACATAGATCCAGAGAATTTTGTGGTGGATCCAGGAGTCTAATCTTTTGAGAGGGGGATCCAAGGGGAGTGGGAATATTTTATGAATTAAAAAGTTTGAGATATTAAAAGTATATTTATTTTAAAGTAAATGATTTTAATATGTTAATAAGGTCTCAAGAATAAATGTTTTATGTTCAGGCTGTTGATTGAAAGTGAGAGGAACATACCTTTATCTGATAATATAAATTATTTTTTGATTTCAACAAAATGATATCAAGCACACGTACATAACTTAATTAAGCTTAACATGAATGAGTTAAATAGCTCCATAGAATTAAGTGATGGATCCAAGGATCCAGTTTATTTGGGGATCCAAGGGGAAATTTGAAGGAAAAAAAGAAATATGAAATAAATATTGAAATATATATAGCAATGGTACTCTTCTGTATGGGAGATAAGAAAGTTTATTCTTTATATGAATAAGTCATATAGAAAATATATCTATGTAACATGAATCATACATAGATTCAAAGAATTTATTGGTGGATTCAACGGTCTCTTCTTATGAGTTGGGGATCCAAGGGAAGTGGGACATACCAAGATAATTTATGAATTAATTAATAAACAGAATTTGTTATCTCTAAGAACAAATGATTTTGCTACTAACAAGGTTTCAAAAATATTGAAAAAAAAATGAGGAACAGACATGTCTGAAATTATTATATCTTGGAAATAAGTTTGAAAATAAGACAAGACAATAATTAATGTCTCCATTCCAATTTTCATGAAATCAAAGATATATAATGAAGATTACATGGTTTTTTTTACCCTAAGTAACAAAAACGTGGGGGGAAAAAACCCACATGTAATTTTTAGTCATATATGGGTTTAAAAACCCCACGAAAGATTATATGGGTTTATTTCCCCCATGGGGAAAATTTTAAACCCCATGGGGTTTTTGTGGGGTTTTTCATGGGGTAATTTTAAGTACATGTTTCCCCATGGGATTTTTATCTTTGCCACTTAATATCTCAAAAACTAGCTAAAAATGTTGGATTTTTTATTTCATAAATCAATTTAAATATAAAAACCCCACCATTTAAAAAAAATCCTAAGATAATAGCTTTAAAGGAAAAGGGTGCGCAAGTTCGGAAAAATGTCCATTCCCAAGTTGTCCGTCCCACTGTTAATAGTTTTCCACCGTCTCTAAATCCCCCCATATTAAATCACCCTAAGTTTCTACTGATAACGATTTGTTAAACTGTCACAACAAAAATGCGTCCGATGAAAATGAGCGCCAGTGTGTTTCACCGAGGTGTTTTGAATATTCCACCTGTATAAATCTTGTGTCGTCTGACAACTTAACGGCAGACGGGAGCGCATCAAAGAATGTAAACAACACTGGATGTTAAAGCTGCACTATGAAGGCACGTGAAGAACTTGTCTTAATATTAGGTATGTAAAAATTTTAAATATCCTTTTGATCAAATGTTTCCAAACGTATCTCTATTTCATGTTTAAATCTTTGGTGTTTAAATGAAAGGGAACATATTATGTATCAGTATCTTGTATGTGTATTAAAACTCGAATGGTTTCATGCATTCACCTTTCACCTAGTTTTAACTTATAAATAATTAATTGATGGCAATGATTTTGTGTGGAAAAAAAATTAAGTCCTTAATTTTATGCATATTTTTTTTTTATATATGAAATGAGACATCATGGTATTATTCATTCAGTTGTCAGATCACTTTTATACTAAATTGATGATAAATCATATATATAGCTGTCGACTTTCTTATTTTTGTAGTAGTCTCTACATCTTTTTGAACAGTTATTGAAGTAAATTTCACCGACTACATATTTCTTAACAATCAAAATCAGGTGTTTTTTTGTGTAACAAAATTTTATAAGCCTTCTTATATGTAAGGAATATTACAAAATTTTTCTTATTTAAAACATTGAAAAATATTCTCTATATTTTTTGAGATAGTGATGTTCAGTTTACCGAACACGCATTGCGATGATTTTATGTCATGATTTAAAGTTCTAATTAAGCAAATGAATTTCCGGAATTCCATGAAAGGTTTTCATATAGAATGATATTTAGAATAATTTGAAATATTACACATGCTGAAAATCATGCACTTTAAAACTGAAGTAATCTCACATTTGCACTCGTTTAAGTAAACAGACAGTAGAATAGGACTAACGGGGGGGGGGGGGGGCAGATAAGTGGCAAGAAACTTTTGAATATTAGAAAAGAAATCTTTACTTTGCCATTATGCACTTATCTAAAGTATCAAATTTTTTACTATTAGTAAATCAAAGTTTTACTATAATGGTAAATCAAATCATTTTTTACTATAAATTTCAAATTGTTATATTCCTTTTCTCAAATTCTTATAGCCATCTTTTTTATACAAAGGGCATATTTCTTGATTATTCACGTTACTTATTTGAGAGATATCAAGACTGAACCTCCAAAAAAGTTCTAGAGTAAAGTTTCATGCATATATATGATATAATGAATCACTGCATAAAAGTATTTCCTATAATTAATTATAGAAAACTATAGTAAAACATTAATTGTTTGCTAGGAATATGTTGAGATCTTGACTGAATGTGTGGGTTGCATTCCATCGAACCCCTACCTTAATACATTCCGCTTGGTCACATGATTTTGGTTATGGGTGCTTTGGGGGCCTTTATTCAATTGTAGACGTACCTAAGATTTGAGACAAGTTGGGGAGGGGTTCAAAATTCCTCTAATGTCCCATAAAATTACTTATTGGCCTCATTTATGTGTCTTGTACTATGATTACTTAACTGTTTGGATATAATCTGTTTTCTGCAGATGTGTATTCAACATTGAAATTTCTCGTCATACGCCCAAATCTAGGTAAATTAAGTTTATTATGTAAAACGTTTCATTTAATTGTTTAGTAAAAACAAAACTTTCTAATGCGGAAAAAATTCTTATGATCTCATTGATCTGCCTTCGAGGACGTTATATACTACTAACACTAGCAGAATTTTCTTTGATTTCGGTCCAAGTCCCATTAGAAGGGTCCAAGAATACACAATCCAGTTGAATGTGTTTTGCCGATTCTTTTAACGAAAATACACTGTTATGTACAGTATTAAGTGATTCTGTGACTCACTGAGAATGACATGAGAGAAATTCTACTACGGAAACCATTCCAGCTTATTACAAAAAATTTAAAAAATGTAAATTTGAAATAAATAAATAGTTTTTTGTTAAATTTTAGATAAATATATTCGTTTTGTTTAATTATAGCATGATAATAATTGTGGTTTGATGACTATAATAAACATAATTTAATAAATATTGTCAAATAAAATTCCCCAAAGGAGTTAAGAGATACATTTTCCATTTGAAAAAAATTAAAATGATACATTAATGACATCATTTCAGATGTCTCCTCCACTTTACATTAATGTATGTTTTTTTTTCTTTTTACAAATTAGGATGAGCGTTAAATAGCGCCCTGAAGGAATGTAGGGTATTTTGACCTGTGCATCACACCCTCCCAGCAAATAATGTCCCTGTTTCTCTCGTATATACTAAATCTTGTGCACATTATTTTAATGTCATGGCAAAATTTTGTTGTTTCTGATATTCAAGAACACGTGACAATATTAATGTTAGATGTGTTCATCAATCATGTTCGTAGGATTTTTACTACACGTAGATTGTTTTTCGTGTTTGATTTTATACCAGTGCATCGGTTTTGTTTCTTAATTATTATATAAATCTGCAGCATAAATATACTCCAATATGTATGTTAAGGAAGTATATTTGCATTAATATCCTTTATAATGAGATGCTAGGAATTTATTTTATCACATTTTTCCTTCCTTTTAATAATTGACCAAAAAGGAAAAAAAAGTCTTAAAGAATTTTCTTAAGTGAAGGAAATTATGATTAGAGATCTTCTGCACTCAAGTTTAAGAATAAATTATTTTCAAAACAAACTTTAATTTTGTTACCTGTAAGCTTTCAATCTATAAATAATTTTAAGTGAAAAAAATCAGTAAGCACTAATTTTCTCTCTTATTTAAAAGTCAATATTTCATTGTATTTGTTTCATTAAGCATTGGTATATGACGCCATCTTCACCAAATGTGAAAACAAGAAAAACTTTAATATAAGCAGCATACAAAAATAATCCCTTCAAAATTTAGAAAAATTAGAGACAATCGGGTTAGCCATAAATTGTTTATCTGTTAGGTGTTATTATCTGACATACTTAAATGTTGTATTATATCTTTTATTAAAAAAGATGAACATTAAATATTTTCAAGTAGAAGTGGGCATAAAATGATTGTTAACAGTAATTTTTAATCCTTAATGTCGTGGGTAATTAAAACATTATGACTTTAGCTTGACCTGACCTTGCTACTAAAATAAGATGTTAAGTTTAACTGAAATAGTGATATGCGTCTTGAGTGTGTGAAAATACAATAAATATTTGAAGAATGTACATGTAGAAAGTAATATTGTTATCAATGAATTTTATTCCATATATAATGTTTTGAAATACTTTCAAGACTTGAATGATATCCCAACCCCTCCCCCATCCCACAAAACGGGGAAAAGAAACTGAATAATAAGCATACACAAATATTATATCATTTTTTATTTATTAAATAAAGGGTTTATACTTGGAGTCTCTGGATTATCGGACTTGGAATATGCCAAGGAATACTCCAGTAAGGCCGGAAATCTGAAAAAGAGACCGGAACTCAGGCTGGATGAAGCATGGCTGACCATCAACTCCACCGTCAACTTCAACATTCTACTTTTCTCATTAAATGATCAGTGTTGGAAGGTGAAAAATTAATACCGTTGATATTTAATCTTTATGCAGATTTTTCAAAACTTACTTTTCTCATATTATGAAGTGAAAATTGTTTTAAAACCATAATAAAACATTTATAAATGTCATCAATGATTTCAAGTTGTTGTAATGTTCAAAGCTTAAGAAGATCGTAGCGAGTCCTCCGATATCTTGACGATATGCTAACCTGGTCAGCATAACAAGCGTTAAATTACAACGATGTTAAGGCTGCCCAGTTTAGCAGAGTGGCCTCACATTACTGTCCATTGCTGCTGTTTATTGCAATTCATATAATGTTGTTAAAGAAAACAGAACTGAAAATTATAAGTATCTTCCACCATTTCAGTGTGACCCAGTGTTTGTTGACACGATACCTATGCACAGCACCTACACGCTAAAAGTAAACACGACATTCGGAACAACGACTTATCTGAAAGAAAATGACCTCACAGGGAAAGCGGATGAAACGTTCTGCACGTAAGTTATAAAGTACACACAGTCTGAGGAAAAAGTTGGATTTAATTTGCTTGCGCATGTTTTTCTTAAATTTTCTTTGCTACGACTCTTCAAGGTTCTGTCCGCGATTGATGAATCTGCTAAAGGTTCATCATCCCTTAGTTAACTCATATAAAATTTTGCTTTGATGCTTATGATTTTCCAAAAGAAATCTAATCTATAATTAAAATACATACTTACGATTCCAGTGTAGCTTACTGAGGAAATAAATCAAAATTCCATTTTGAAACGTAGCTTGATCATTATCAAAGAAAAATTAGTAATTCATACCAGTAAGAGTAATCTATCTTGTCAGATGGTCAATGTACCATAATCCTTCTTTGCTGTCTATATCACCCGATGGAATATGTTAAGATAATGAACAGTGATATCATGCTCAAAAGTGCAACTGTGAGCAAAGCCAACATAGACCTCTAAAAACAGAGTTGATCTCAGGTGCCATGGGTGGAGTAAACATACCCTGTCAACCGGTTACACCCACTGTGTGCCCCTTGTCATGATCGGATAAACGGAAAAAACGAAAAATTCCGTAGAAAAATCAGTGTGAAAATAATGGTCTATTAATTTGTATGAAAGATGTCAGTCAACATTCGACTTAACGACAGACTGTTTTTGCAAACAAAGTCAGTATGTCTACCATAGAATTTGCAAAATGTTGTTTTTAAACAAATTGTTGATATCCTTGTATCATCCACTTGTTTGTCAATAGCCTGCCTCATTTTAGGAATTTTCAGTACGTAGAACAAAAGCGCGTGCCCCTGCATATCGAATCAACTGGTGATATAAACTCCATAGTTATGCTAAGGGAAGTTGACGATAGGAAACTTGAAATCATCACACTAATCATAAAATTAGTTGTTAGTTTGCCACCAATGTCTTTCTCTAGTGAAATATATTATCCAAATATAAAACAGATGTGTCAGACTCTGTGGTGTCTCATTTAGAGTTCAGTGGGATATATTGAATCAAAGTAGAAACGAAAATTAATATTGTTAATTTAATTTCAAGTGATTATTAAAGATGGAACTGATTTAAATGATTGGCTTTTAGATTTCACGAGAAGTTTACAGAGACGGGGGATTATTGGGTTTTTGTTACAAATCAAGAATTTCTCAATCACCAATGCAACCTGCTTCAGATCAACGACCCACTCCCGGCGGAAATGCGTAAGTCATGATAGAAATTAATCTATGTTCGTTTTGCATGGAGTCACTGTATTAATTATCATTACCGACATCATCCGATGTTTCTGACGAATTTTAACACATTCACAAACAGCTTCTTCATATTCTGTAAAGTCCATGCACATAGTTTCCTATTCTCTATTTAACATAATTGATTTAATCAAAGTGTTTTTTTTTTAAACTTTTATCAATTTTAAAGTACAGTTACAAAATTACTTATTGAATATGACTACAAAGAACATTTCTTCTATCCCGCATAATTTTTTTCTTTCCGAATAACAGCAGGGCTAAGGTGAATAGAGGTGAGCGTTGTAGCCCTTGGACTCAGGTTGATTATCAAAAGGTATTATTCATATTTTGTTTGTTGCATCGCTTTTTTCTTACAGCGATAGTTTATGTGTTTGGTGGACTTCTGGTATTGTGGGTCATTGGTGACATGATAGTTAGACTAGACAGGTACGTAGTGAATGGCGTTTGGCTGTTTCAATATTTACATTTTAAGATGTCTTTGTCCAAGATATAAAACTACAAATAGGGAAAATTTTAATAGCTTTATATCTTCATAAAGCCATTTGCATATCACGTGACAGAATTGCCTTCTCCCTATGTTTCTTAGTACCCCTGTAATACACTGGGCGGGGCTTGCAGACTATTGAATAAAAATAAGTAAATATTGCACTTCTTTTATTGAATCAAGGAATCGCGATCGGGTAAAACAAGTAATTATAAGAACCTTATCTAATCTTTTGATTTAAGAGAATGATCAAACAGTTTGCTAACATGATATTTTTACGCACCTTTGGCGGTTTATGCAAATTATAACGAAAGCAAACTGTTTTATCACATCGTAAAACTTGTTTGACAGTTATTTCTCAGTTAAATGTATCATTAAAACACAAAGCTTTAAATTGGTACTAAGTAATATCTATTTCATATATATGTGCTAGTATTCTTTGTTCTTTTTACAAGTTTGATGACCATCCTTGACCTTCATTGCTGTATTGCAATACGTATAGAAACATTCTATTTTATTTTTCTGCAGAAAATACAATAAATCACAGTCCTTAAACATAACGGATCCGGAAAATGCACCACGGAATTTACGTATGAAGGTATAGTGTATACCAAATTGTAATCCTTTGCGTGCAAAACATTTTCTTATAGTGCACTTATTCACAACAGTTTTGTCTTTCACTTACTTTACTTTTCAATTGATAATGAGAACATGGCTTATTTTAAAGTGTTAATAAATGAAAACAGTCTTATGATGAAATAAAATTTTAAAGAAAGTAAAAGAAAGTAAGATATAAAAGAACTTGAAGTTCACACAGCACCCCCTTCTTCAAAATTATTAGATGTAACAGTTTGTTTATACTTACACTACATACATCTACATGTATATATATGTATTTTATTTAATGTTTAATTTGGTTATTTATAGTCTCTTCGACAAACAGCCAACGGATTTTCAGACATGAACGGACAGAACGGAATACCGAGTGATCAAAGCGAGGCTCATCGTCAGTATTCAACACACAATAAAAGAGAGCGATTGAAATCATTGGACACATTCAGAGGGTGATACTTTACATGTATAAATGTATCTGAATGTGCAATGAGCTGTCACCCATTTTTATTTGCATTTAGAATCAACACAAAAATATCCCCTTTTGTGCATTTCAGTGGCCTACATGTAGACACTATGCACGCCAGTTTTACCCTTAAAAATTAATACTGTAACATAAAACGCAGAGAACGCGAAAACAAACCTAAACCATGAGTCCATAGAGATTCATAATTTTGTAAATTTCACTTGCAACCAGAGGGCCTTTCAGGACTTTTTAGAATCTCCTCCACTTCGTGGATTTGGCTTGAGATCTGTAATTTGGTTCCCCCTTAATTTATTTGTGAGTCCTAAAATCTCCTGTCTGCAATTAAAGTAAAAAAAAGAATTCGAGGATAGCGTTTCTCTGAAACTTATACCCGCGGAAAGATTTTTAAATAGTAATTAATCGTTATAGGGGGACGTGTACATGTAAGAATGAATATTTTACAATTATAATAATTAATGATATAAATTGTTCTTGAACTGAAGACATGTGCATGTAGGCTTATATCGAAAATAATGATTGAAAGGAAAGAAGAACTTAAGAATTTGAATGTGACACAGTTTCTCTGGGCTTCATGACTGTATATGGATACACATTTGAATATTATATAATATTTTCTTTTCTTATCTTTATCCTGACGTGTGTGGATGATAATGAAATTTGTGAACTAGATGGGGGATACTAATTATATGTATTATCCTCTCTTATCTTTAGATTGAGTTTGATGATTATGATATTTGTGAACTATGGAGGAGGGGGATACTGGTTCTTTGATCACCCTCCTTGGAATGGGCTAACAGTTGCAGACCTGGTGTTTCCATGGTAACATTTTTCTTGTTTAATATATTTTTAATTACTCTTTTAATTCATTTATTAAATTATCTTCAGTTATCTCCTTAACTTTCTAGTGATTTTGATAGAATTATAAAAATTTAACCAAAAAAGTTTCAATAGGAACATGTATATATGTTTAATTAAGGAATAACTGTCTTATTTTTTGGATTCATGATGTGATCAATCGAGTGGCTTGCGTGATAATTTGCATAAACGCCGAAGGCGTTTATGCATAAAATTATCACGCAAGCCAATCGATTGATCATCGTCATGAATCCAAAAAATCTGACAGTTATTCCTTATATTTACATGCTCCTGATTCTGCAAATTCCCGTGCTAATAGCCCCGCTTCTGTCTCTATTTGTCCCGCCCCGCACGTGATTTTTTTTTAACCGCGCCTATCGATGAACCAGTAGATTTATGTAGAAATAAAGTATTTTTACAATTTGCAATTTTATCTCGGACAAAGACATTGGAAATGTAAATATTGCTTTTTATGTTTTTACAGGTTTATATTTATCATGGGTACAGCAATGAATTATTCCTTTCGCGGTATGAAAAAGAGAGGTGTCCCCAGATACAGAATGCTATATAAGGTTCTCAGAAGGGCAATTCTTTTATTCTTTATCGGGATCGTTCTGAACACCAACTGGGGACGTAAGTTTAACTCCTTAATAAAAATACAAATGTAAGTAAAGTGATATCCTCCTTTTTACCCCAGCCTGCAACTGATATTGCTGGAGGATCTATTGGAATTGCTTTGTACGTACGTTAGTTTGTATTCTATTAAATATGTAAGGGCAAACATTCAGATCAATATCTGGCTTGGCGACTCTTTGGAACTAGTAGTCAGTTGAAAGCATGCTACAGAAGCTGGCTCCATTGTTCTTTTTGAGTGCAAGGCGCACCTCAGGATCTGACATTTTAAGTGATGCAGAAACCAAACTTGAAAATGTGGTGCAAATGTTACAAATGTAGATTAATATCTTATGCTCCAATAAATCAGGTTATGTGCAATGTTAAGTAAAGCATTAATCATTTTTGGCTTAACATAAGGGATATTCAAACCGAATATGTAACACTACACTAAGATGGGCGTTTAGCTAACTTTTTTTACTTATCTAAAGGATTTTCAAACTGAATTTGTAGAAAGTTTTTCACATCCATGAGTTTTTAAAACTCACCACAACTACTTGTATTGTAAAACCAAACTTATACTTACATGTATATTGTATCTAAGTGCGCTTAGTCTGAAGCATATTTCAGATGTTGCATGTAGCCTACATTTCATTGGCTCTTAAAAAAGAGGATTTAAGGCTGTTCAAAGCTAATTACAGATAACACACAGTACATCTATGGATGTTTTGGGAAATATATACCTGAAATTTCTCACGTTCTGATTGTGTCCTCATATGGGGTGCCCTGTTACAATGTGAAATGTAATTATAACGCAAAATGCAATAAACCAATAAATTTTGCATTGAGATCAACAAAATGTAATAAAGCAAAACGAAATAACAGACTTTTAGGATTGTTACATTCTGCGTTATTACTCGTACATTTTGCGTCGAGATCAACGCAAAATGTAATATCCCAGTTTATTACATTTTCAGTCGTTATTGTATTTCGCGTTCTAACAGTGCCCTCATGCGGCGTTTGAATGTTTGCTTTTTGTTTGATTGTTTTTGGGCTTGTTTTGCAATTACTAATATAAAGTATTTTTGGAGGAGTTGGTAAAAATATATCTTAGTACTTTTATAAATATTGGCTACAAGTCCGTCTTCTTTCATTTATCTCCCTTATTTCAGCCGTTGACCTGGATACTATCCGTATACCGGGTGTGTTACAGCGGTTCAGTCTGACGTACCTTGTGCTGGGGCTGATTGAGATCTGCTTCTGTCGGTACGATACCCCGGATAAATATCAGGTATGATCAGAATACGAGTTATCTCTCTTCTTTCAGGTAATGCTCAAAAGATAGTAAATTTACCAGGGGTTTTGAAAACACAACAATACAAGGGGGAAAAGGAGAGAAAGAAAGAATTATATATGTATACATGAATGCTTTTTCTTCAAACGTAACATTGGTTTTCAAAAATGATGAAAGTACAGTGTTCAGTAATCTTTTAGTTTTGGAAATTGCATCTTAAATTACCCCCGTATTCAAAGAATATTTCATACAAGTGCAAGTTGGAAAAGTTCAGACGTTGTAATTTACCTAACCATGATAAGAAAATTTTATCAAAAGATAAAAACTTTAACGGATCAGATGTGTATTTCACGTTTTCACGTGCAAAAATAGCGTGACACTATCAAAACATATAATTTCCCGTGCAAAATATCGGGTAAATACAAAATTTTATCGGTAATATCTTCATAATTTTTTTAGATTAATGATAGGTAAATCTTTCTTAAAAATTAATATATCGATTAAAATAATATAAATTTTATGCAAATCTCCTGAATAATTTTGAACTTAAAAATAATTTCTTCACCATTCACGATCGACGTAGCAAATATTGTATTTTCAAGCTGAAATATAAAACCCTAGTCAGGAGTACAAATTTGAAAAAAAAAACAAAAACCCAGGTATCCATTAATTAATTTCCTATTTGTCTGCTAATAGTAATGTACATGTTACACGAAAGATGCCGCTATCTTCGCCCAGACTCTGTATGCTAATTAAGTCCTCCTCTTTGATTGGTTTGTTACAGGACAGATGCTGGTCACCGCTTAGAGACATTCTGTTGTTCCTCCCTCAGTGGATTTTGTCCCTGGGTATCTTAGCAGCCTATGTGTGTTTGACCCTGCTTCTGCCCATAGGTGACTGTCCCACGTAAGTCTGAAAGTCTGATGTTAAGTCTTTATAAATGCAAGCTGCCCCCCTCCCCTCCCCCCGGGTACGATTCACGATAAATTACTTGCTCAGTGAGTAATTTAATTTGTGCCAAAAAGCATGGTAATCAAAACGCTTAATCTTCGTATGTTTAATGTCTGCCTCATCTGTTTCGTATTTGGATGTTTTACTTACTATAGACGATAATGGCCAACTAAAAACAACACTATGACAATCAGGGTGACTTCAGCTTTTCCATCGTCAACTTCCCTTATTTACAATAATCCAATAGCACCTGGTACATGCTATTGATTCAATACGCAAGATCATGCTCTGAATACGATTACTTGTTTTTTTTTTAACCGAGACAAACTACTAACAAAAAAGTTGATGTTACAAGGATTTCTACAATCCTGTTGAACGAGTCAGTTTATCGCAAATTCCACGGTCGTTATGGTGACTTTCTTTGTAAATACAACCCATTGTTAGGTCGTATTTTGTGTGACATATTTCCTATACCATTTGCTTTAATACTATAAATTTGACTACCGGATACTCTGTCTACGTTATCAATACATACATGTATAAGGCTCACGGCGAGGGTGTCCGGTCGACATGGGATGCTTTCTCCTCCTAGGCACCTGATCCAACCTCTGGTGTTTCCAGGAGTCTATGTTTTTTTTGCCCTGTTCATGATTCGTTTTTTTACTGAATTTTATGAGAATTAATTACAGTTTCACTTTATGTTGAACGTAAATCAATAAACAAAACCTGTATTCCGTTGTTTTATGTTCGTTGCAGTTTTATCCATGTGTAAATTGTTTATGATCTTGTATTGATTTGTTTGTTTTGTATTTGTTTTCCTGTTTACAGGGGATATATTGGACCTGGCGGTCTCCACGACGGAGGTAAATTTTATAACTGCACGGCAGGAGCTGCCTCTTACATTGATATCAAGGTGCTGGGGAAAAACCACATATACGGAAAACCTACACCGCATGTAAGGTCATTTACCTTCTATTTTATCGTGCAATTATATTTTCAATTGAAATAGACATTCGAAAAGAAGAACATATAGTCAATATTTTTGTCGGTATTCTATCTTTCAACGTTTGTTTTGCACATATTACCGTATATACTCGCCTATACGGTTGTATTTTTTGAGGTTATTTTGGAGGAATTGCCATTGACCCGCTTATAAGTCGGTAAAACTTTTGGCCAGAATATATGCTTTATCGTTGGCTTTTATCTTTTCTTAAACAGCAAAATGATAAGTTAAATGTGATTAGTGGATATGATGCATGTATATATCGATATTAATGTAAAATATTGACCATGAAACAAGCACATGAAAAATACACGAACTTTCGTCCACTACATGTACTAACATTTCAACTAACCATGAAAAAATATTTTTTTTTATCACTGTTAGTGATTTGGTGCAGGCTTACATCATCAAAATGTGAATCCTGCAAAAATAGAAGTTCGTTTTTAAGAATTATTTTGACCAAAACTATAACATGACTGCGCCCTATTTTCAGATTATCTATCAAACAACTACTCCTCATGACCCCGAAGGCATTCTGGGAACACTGTCTTCCATCTTTCTATGCTTTTTAGGATTACAGGTAATTCATATTCTCTATTTCTATATGATTTTGTTTTCATTTAATGTAAAACGCTTAATTGTGTGTTAAATGGACCCTCCCCGTTTATAATATTAAGTCTGATATCACCAAAATTGTGAATCCTGCTAAAATAGAAAGTATACGTCATCTTGAAAGTAATGATATGAACTGAATATGACAGTTTTTTTTACAGTAATATTACTGATCTACTGTCTTGAAGAAAAAAAACATTATTTTGTTCATCTAAAAATGAACCAAGAAATATATTTTCCACTTTATATTCAAAGCATTTACTTGTATATATTCTTTGCAGTCTGGCCGAATTCTTTTGTATTATGTTGGCCATGCCAGTCGGGTGGTACGATGGCTTATTTGGGCGGTTATCACGGTATGTATTGGAACTTATCTGTAAATATAAAATTTCTAATGTACAGAGGTATTCAATATTGTTATTCCCATCAATTACAAATGGAATTCACATGCAAGTGTAAACATTAATGGTATATTAAGCAGAACAAATGGAAATAATAATAAACAACTAAATTCATTGTAGAATACAAATGGAAAATAAAAGAAAGAATTCAAAATTAAAACAAAATTTTTAAAATGCCCCCCCCCCCACCCCACCCCAAAATATGCAAGCAACAGTGTATGTCACCCCAAAACTGACTTTCTTCCATTTCCATGGAAACGGCAGCTATTTTGGAAAATGCATGCAAACAACGCTAATTGTATTGATTATTAATTAGTAAATTACCTAAGTTTGGAATTTCATTCACATTATCGATGTCATCTGCGAGAACTCCTGCAGACAAAATTAAGTTGGAGAAATAATGATTTCAAAATAAATAAAAAGATTTAATTTTCCAATGTCTGACATATCGTGTATTTGGCTTCCTGGATGATCATTACTTGATCTATATATATTTGATAAAAGTATTCACGATGGAAATTTAAACCGGAAGGTGTAATTAGTGACTGGCAAAGTGTCCTTCCGCGAAGATTTTATTTTTTTGTAATTAAAAACAGCAGTTTTGGGGGCAATATTGATAGCATCGAATCAGATTAAAATTAAAAATGAAAGCTTCGTTCAAGTCGTCTTTGATATGTTCATTAAATAATCGCAGGTCTCTAATGCATTTTAATTCTCTATTAACCGGTTTATTCAATTGGACCAAAAGATGAAATCGGAAACAAAAAAAAATAATAGTTCTACAAGAAAGGTCATTGACTTTTCCATATATACATGATTAGATTGAGTATCTTAACGACTTTGTATATCGTGAAGCATTAGCATATAAAGCCTTCTTATACATATCAATGGATTTGAGTAATTTTTACACAGGAAAATAAGATTACTTTCCATCACATTATATGTGTTGTTATCATGCTGAAATATATTGACAACTTATACATTTTTATGAGATGTTATGTACAAGGCATTACAATTTATATTGAAGTTCATTGTTCTGGGTAGAAAAGATAAACCTGACGACCCATACTCGAACAGTAACAGAACTCAGAAAGGACACCGAACTATTGACAGTAGTTCAAAAAATGTTGTGTCAAATACATAGGTTGAGAATGTGTTCTTGGTACTAAATAAATATGTCTATATCTTGATCAGATTTTGGATGATACACATTTGGAAGCAATCAAAAATTATGCCATTTTTACTAGGTCCCAATAAAAGATGAAGAATAGTTTGGGAAAAATATTATTCCCTCAAAGTTACCATATTTAACTAATTTATTTTTTATTGTCTTTGTCTTGTGCATGCTTGTCGGTAGATTTTAAGCCAATGAGGACAACAATATTTTTCTTCAGTCCATATTTTCTCAAACTAAAAGTAGAGTAGAACAGTAATTGTATCATGTGATTTTTATCTTTTTACAAGATCAAAAAGTTAAATGATACTTACATTGTACATGCATGTCCCCTAAAAAATAGAATTTATTCAATTTAAATTTATATTAAAATCAATTGTCATATACAAATTTAAATTGAACCAATTTTAAATTCAATAATTATCCACAATAAAATTGAACAAATTCTAAATTTGGTAATTGGCTTATACAAATTTAAATTGAATAAATTCTAAATTTAATAATTGTCATATAAAGAGAACTACATGTATATGCGATATTTTTGCTCCCATCAAAGCCAGATTATGAAAATATCTAGAAATACACAATTGACTGTACACATTGTATGAAAAATCTTAATTGACAAAAAATATTGTAGCAAATAAGTAGATTATCGGCAATTCTTTTTTTTCTGTGGCATCAAAGAATATAATTTGGATTTTTCCATTATATTTATGAAAGACGACACAATGGACGAAATTCGTTCAACTATGAGTATAAAATTTATTGGGCGCCGCAAGCTTGCTCCAGAACAATGTTCATATATTTCATTGATGTTATAATTCTACACATTATACTTATAGTATCAAAAGATCGAACTGGGGCAGACCTGCGCTCCATGATATCGACATAAAAAACACTTTTTTTTCTAAAAATCATTGAAATTGTGAATTTAGTCATCATTTTTGACGTCATATCTACAAATGTAACATATGGGGTCATGGCTCATGAAAATGGATAATTCTTTCAAGTCTGCCGAAATCACCAGGTTTAGAACTTAATTATAGATTTCTACATCAAAGTTCAAATTTGGGACCAGATATTGGTCATTATAGAATATACATGTAGTCCTTTAATTTGAACAAATTCCTAATTTGTATGTTAATTATTGTCATTGTTTTCAGGGAGCCATAGGAGGAACTCTGTGTAAATTTTCCGCCAATGATGGCTGGATTCCACTCAACAAGAACCTCTGGTAAATAAAGAAATGTAGATAATGAACAAATATGATAGTGACGTGTAATGTAAACCACCTTTCATTTGTGCTTCTGAACTAAAGGATGGGGAGTGGGGGCTATTCTGCATGTGCCCCATAAACTTAATAAATTGAAGCCGTCCTTTTGCTAATATTTTGACTAGTTTTTCGTTAATATTGATTTGTTTTTAATTTGTTTCTTATTTTGTTTTTGTTTGTTTGTCTGTTTGTTTTTGTTGTTTTTTGATTTCTTTATTTTATTATACCCCCGCTCCGAAGGAGAGGGGGGTATACTGTTTTACCCTTGTGTGTCTGTCTGTCTGTCTGTCTGTCTGTCTGTCCGTAACAAATTTTGGTCGCAGTTTTCTCAGCAACTACTCATTGCAGATGCTTGAAATTTTAGCACAATCTTTGTTGAGGCATGCCATATGGTGGGATTCATTTTTGTACGAATTCGATGTCAACTTCCTGTTTATCCGTGCGTCTGTCCGTACCATACATAACAAATTTTGGTCGTAGTTTTCTCAGCAACTACTCATTGCAGAAGCTTGAAATTTTAGCACAATCTTTGTTTAGGCATGCCATATGGTGGGATTCATTTTTGTACGAATTCGATGTCAATTTCCTGTTTATCCGTGCGTCTGTCCGTGCCATACATAACAAATTTTGGTCGTAGTTTTCTCAGCAGCTACTCATCGCAGATGCTTGAAATTTTAGCACAATCTTTGTTGAGGCATGCCATATAGTGGGATTCATTTTTGTACCAATTCGATGTCAATTTCCTGTTTATCCGTGCGTCTGTCTGTACCATACATAACAAATTTTGGTCGCAGTTTTCTCAGCAACTACTCATCGCAGATGCTTGAAATTTTAGCACAATCTTTGTTTAGGCATGCCATATGGTGGGATTCATCTTTGTACTAATCTGATGTCAACTTCCTGTTTATCCGTGTGTCTGTCTGTACCATACATAACAAACTTTGGTCGCAGTTTTCTCAGCAACTATTCATTGCAGATGCTTGAAATTTTAACACACTCTTTGTTTAGGCATGCCATATGGTGGGATTCATTTTTGTACGAATCTGATGTAAACTTCCTGTTTATCCGTGCGTCTGTCTGTACCATACATATCAAATTTTGGTCGTAGTTTTCTCGGCAACTACTCATCGCAGATGCTTGAAATTTTAGCACAATCTTGTTTAGGCATGCCATATAATGGGATTCATTTTGGTACAAATCCAATGTCAACTTCCTGTTTATCCCTGCATGTGTCTGTACCATACATAACAAATTTTGGTCGCAGTTTTCTCAGCAACTACTCATTGCAGGTGCTTGAAATCTTAACACAATGTTTGTTTAGGCATGCCATATGTTGGGATTCATTTTTTACTAATCCAATGTCAATTTCCTGATTATCACTGTGTTTGTCCATAACTGAACTTGTGTATTCACATCAGAGCGGGGGTATTATTAGTGAGCATTGGCTCGCAGACTTCTTGTTAATTTATTCACCATTAATATATATTTCTTTATTTGTTTGTCTTTCATGTACCTCCTTTAATGGAAATCTTTTGTTATATTTTCAATATGATTATTCCATTGCGGAATATGATCTGTTGATCTGTTTACATTCCATAAATGTTAAACATACGTATAATATATAAAATAAAATGCTGTACATAATTCAGATAACAAAATGATTGCTCCCTTAATATTAATATATCTGTTATATTTGCAGGTCAGTTTCTTTTATCATGGTGACCGCCTGTTTTGCATTCCTTCTCCTTTCCTTTTTGTATCTTATCATTGACGTTGCCAAAATATGGGATGGGACGCCTTTTATATTTCCTGGTAAGATTTATTAAAGAAAGAGGAAGGAATATATATATATATATATATATATATATATATATATATATATATATATATATATATATATATATATATATATATATACTATCATTATTTTTTAATAAAATTTCTATGTCAATTTCAAAAAAATTATTTTGATTGATGAAGAGCTGTTTGAATACATTGTCAAATTTGTTCAGATAACTTCTTTAGTCAGATGATTTATTTTTAGAATATTACATAAGGTATTTGGAATTTTCTGAGAATTGCATCCTTGGAATTCTTTTGAGAAATACACATTTGGATTTTTTTTTCGGAGAATGACATCTTCAAAATTATATATTTTGAGAAATTCACCTTTCGGAATTTTTTTTTTTTTGAGAATTACATTATAGGAAAATCTGATGAGAAATTCATCTCTTTTTTTTTGTTTTGTTTTGTTGTGTTTGTTTGTTTGTTTGTTTAGTTTTTTTTTTTTTTTGAGAATATCTTCGAAAAAAATTTTGAGAGTGACATCTTTGTCTTTCTATTTAAAGGAATGAACTCTTTAGTTGTATACGTGTGCCATGACGTGTTTTATCGATTTTTCCCCGTCAACTGGTCAATGGATAATCCAATGCACTGGCACTTACTTCTGAAAGCAGTGTGGGATACGGCAATATGGGTCGTTCTGGCGTATATTCTTTACAGAAAGAGGATATTCATTGCTCTATAGACTTGCATGTGCCAAGGTTAAAGATGTAGGGAGAATATAAAATGTTTTCTTTGTAAGGATAAATGAAAAATGTTCTTAATATGGAATTGAACAATTCAATTTATATGTAAACAAAGCAAATTGATTTAATGCTTTAATAACTTCAGTGCTACAAATATTATTTATATTTTTGTTCTTTGTAGACAAACGTCGCTAGCATATTACCGCACGAGAAACGATATGTACATTGCGTCAATCATTTATGAAAGATGAAAGCAATTCTCCAACTTTGTGAAAATTGTAGTTTAAATATTTATGTTCTTATTCAAAAAATTAATATGTTGCTAATGAAAGTCTTGCAATGCTTGAATCTTTTTATTAATGATATTATTTTTATGTTAATCGTGATATGAAGTCTGAACATATATTTTGCGTACTGAACATGGTCATTTTTACAGGGTAGAAAATTGCGATTTCCAGTTATTGTTTGCTACGGAAGTTCAAGAATTCACAAATTGTGTTGGTTTGTTATTTGGTACGGTACCTCGATTTTTTCGAAACTGTTCACTGTGATGATAAATTTTGACAAAAAGAAAAGTATTATGTTCTTTAAATTTATTTGAATAGAAGAATTTGCCAAAAAGATAACCCTTTCAAAAATTACCACATTTACAGCAGATCGACAAATCTGTTCTTTTCATCCAGCAAAAGTATAGAAATAGAACATCTGAAAATATTAATGGAAAATGAATCATTAATAGTGTATGACCAGTTTCAACGATACACGATAGTAAAGTTTTGGAAATGTAAAGAGGTAATCAATCAAATAGAATAGCTGAAGATTAAAACATATAAATCATGTTACCTGTTCCGAAATCAATGTATTACCTGGTGAGCTTATTTCTTGTTCAGATCGAAATGCTGTTAAGAGAGCATGTCACTAAGCATTGAGCTTCATGCTATATAAACATGGAAAGTGGAAAAAATTATTTCTAGCTCAAATTTTGTGAACATGATGCATATGAATAGTCTTTCAAAAAAACATACCTACCCAGGCATATGACCTCTTGTTTCCATGGCAACCAGGGAATTTGCTATATTTTATTACAGAAATACTTGAACTGCCTTATCCTGTTAGAATTCATGTATTTTACATCCAAACTCCATGTATAATTTTATAATGTGGGTCATAAAGTGCTTTGAAATACATTTTTCTGTTTTATAAGGAAAATTTATTTTGTAATTGATCTTTATTAGATTTTACCTATAGAATTATATTGCATGAAGAGCTACGTAGTTTGCAAAATCCAGACAACTTTAGAAAATTCTACATATATCTGTAGAAGGAGAATACTCTGTTCAATAAATTAAATGAATAAAATTGGGTAGACAATCAAGACTTTCAGAAAAATATCTGAATGAAATGTTGTAAAACACTGTTGAAAAATGATTGGATTACCTCCCTTGCAAGAGCTCTCTAGCAAAGGAGGTCAGAAAGAATGAAACAGACAACAATAGAGGAATTGCGGGAGAAAAAGGAAAACTTCCAACTTGGAGTAGTTGGACAAAAACAGATAGTGGTATGTTGAATATGTTTTTTTTTCATGTACATTTTTGGTTAAACTTTTGACAAGTTTATCTTTTTAAAACAAAATTAAAGATTAGGAAGGTACTCACAGATTCATTTCTCTTTCCCATGATGTGATACAAACACTGACTGCATAAGTGATGCAACATACCTACAGCTTGTGAGCAACCTGTTATATGACCACTAATGTTTAATTCAGCAGTTGTTAGATTACTCTTAATGCAGCTAAGGATAGATAAATGCTATAGTGATATTTAAAATATTTAGAGATATGTCTATGATGTTTGTGAATATATACAGTGTATAAAGAGGTCATAGGGTCACACTGCAGGTAAGACTAAAGTCCGCCCTTACCACACAAAAAAGTCATTCTTACTCACCCCTTCCTCTTTTATAAATCAGAGTTTATATTATTTCACATTAAAACTAAAACTTTGTTCAAATCTTATTTTTTTCTCCTGCATCTTCCATACAATCAATGCAACAAACATATCAAATCAGGGTTTTTTCCCTACCAAATGCCAAAATGGATTGGGAATGGTACTGATACCAATTCAATGTTGAAAAATAGCATCGAATTTATTTACCTTTAAGTTTTGGATGAAATAATAATATATCTTGACACAATGAAAAGTTATTCTACAGAAAACAATGGATTCTGTTGAATCTATATCATGTATATGAAAGGAAGTATGATTGAAAATGTGTGGGTAGTTTATAAATCAATATATGTCTGAGTGTTAATATAATTATGTAAAAGTGTGAATAAAACTTATGAATTGAAAAAAATATATATGAATTATTGGGTACAATTCCCAAGTTTATAAAATGTATATAATAGAGTAATCAATAAAATTATCATACCACCCCTCCATCTTCAGGAAACCAGACCTCATTATTTGGTCAAAAGAGAGTCATACATATGAAGGAGGAATTAAGTGATGTTTGTCTATGAAAATTGACCCCACCCCACCCCCACTCCAGAATCCAGAACTCCTATATATATTTTGCAGCTTGTTCATATATCTGAATTGTTCCCTTGTCTGCATATATGTAACTGGTTCATGCTACATGTAATTATTAACATTGACTAGCATGGTGGAAATTATACATGCATACATGTATATCGTAAATGCAACCTTTACAGAAGATAGGATGTACATGTGTGTTAATCTACTACTGTATCACTTATTCAGTAGTAATACACAAACTTTTGTTATTTTTACAGCTATCATAGATAGCTGAAGATGACACCCTGATCCTTTAAAGAAGCCACTGGAGGAAATACATCTTGATCGGAACCATTATTAAAGTTTAATCTTGTTTTACCATGTTCCAAATCAGATATCTGTCTAATAACCACATACAGGTAATCCCCAGAACTGAATCTGAAGGAATGGAGGATTGCACGTGTTATGTATTTTTTGGATGATATAGACAGTTAATACTTGCCCAAATCACAGGCAAAACTTGGACTTGCTTGGACTTTTTGTATTGTTTTTGAGCCTCATGTGTGTATAACCTGAATATTAAATGATCTAATATAATGACTTTTGAAAAATTATGAAAATTCTTTTTGTATTTTTGAGCTATTAGGAAATGGGACTTGCAAGAATAAGTAGCCACTAAAATTCTATTTTTGGTTCTTAAGATTTCCAAGTTAAAATTGGGGACTTGGAAGAACATTCTGATTTTATTTATTTTCTTAAGGACTAGTTGTCAAAGGTTGAAGCATTATTCATGTACTTTAAAGAAACCTCCTCCTTAAAAAGAAAATTGACGGTTTTACAAAAGGGTCAAATTATATTTTTTTCATTTATTTAAAAAAAAAAAAACAAGGGGGGGTTGGGGGGGGGGGGGGGGGGTAGGCTGAACTCTAAGGATGTTTTTAATGAATGTGGTCAAATTAATTTTTGTTGAATCATTTTTAGTCTAAATAAACATTGACTTTAGTTCAATCTGATGTGAATTAAGAGGTTGAATGATATAAGCAGAGGGGGGAAATAAAATAGATTTTTCATTGGATTTCTCCAGGACCTGTAATTGCTTTCAGTAGTGTATTTATGGAACTATTGAAGGAGAAAATTTTGAAGGGGCATTAACCATAGCTGTACTTAATGGGCTTTTCTGTTGAAAAATTTGTGTTGTTGTTTTCATCATCTTAAACACTTCTGCATTTTCATCTTTAAATTTACTGAAAATACCATTGGACCATGCTTGACACTGAATATCCTTCAGTAAAGGGGTTTATTTCAAGTTCGTTCAAATAAGTGGCCGAGCTCCTTCCCAAGAGGAGATAATCAGGAAAAGCCAAAAATAGGGTGGGGTCATTTATATTTGCATAAATCTTAAGAAAAAAGATGATGTGAAAGCTTCCTGATATATCAAATAATGGCCATTGGGTTTAGGGTGAAACCACAACAGGGAATCAAAGTACAAGGCAAAAAATAAAAACAGTGAAGCCAGGATTTGTCATATTATGCAAGGAATTCTCAGGTAGTGCAGATGTCATTGTGTACTAATTGTGGTCCCAGGGGCTAAGATGAGGCTAAAATGGAGACTAAATGAGAATACATGTACACATTTTCAGATATTCTTTTCAAGAATAGCAAAACCAAACTAAATCATATCAATTAATTTGCAAAGATTCCCAATTTATTTAGATTTTAGTTTTTTCCCTCAGATTGTCAACCTCTAGGTATGGATGGGGCTAAAATTTTACATAGTTCAGTGGAGAAAAATTTTAGGGAACATTAAGGTCATTTTAATCTTTATTGATGTTGAAGCATCATTATTTAGTGTTGACTGAAGGTTGTTCATGATGCATTACTTTCCACATGTTTCAAATACATGTATTTCAAGAACAGGTCATAACAGATAAAATTTTTAACTTTGACCTCAATTAATTAACTGACCTTGCCATTGGGGTCAAGGTCAACAGTAGAGCATGAATTTATCTTCTTGAATTGTCTTACAGTATACACTGTGCATCAATGTATGAAATATTTGGAGCAAGGTTCAAAATATCAAGAACCATGTAGATTTAGATAAGAAATTATTAGACATAGAATATATAATACAGAATAATTTGACCTTGGGGTCAAAGGTCAAAGTGAGGAGAAGGTCATAGTAGTGCATGACTCATTTCCTGTTACAACTGCACCCATGTGGAATAAGGATATCTTGTTTCTGAAAGGACAAATTACTTCTAGTAATCTGAATTGTTAACAGGAAATCATCTAAAAATGCCCAAATTTGCATATTTTTGAATCTCTATGGCAACAATGTTTTTGAAAGTCTACCCAATTTTATTTTTTTAATATTTTTGTATACTCAAACAGTTACAAAATTTCATTATAGAGTTTACAAGCAGTTGTACGGATTTTTGTCAAATGCCTTTTTAAAAATGTCTTAAATTCAGCTATTTATTCAATGCTAAACTTGTCGCTTTTTCCCATTGCCATAGCAACGTAACGGAAGAACTTAATCCAATTTAATCAGGCAAAGTAGAACTATCAATTTAGTCATCTTTAAAAAATGGGTAGTTTTAAACCATTTTTTGAGAACATTTGTGTGAAAAATACATTTAATTATGTCAGTATTTGCCCGTTTTGAATGTGAAAAATTGTTCTGGTAACTAAGGAAATGTTTCTCCTTGGATACGACTAAGTGATTATGGTTGAAATCATTAATTTTGTATTTTTCATGTTATTTGTGACAGAAATAATCCATACACACTATTTTTAAAAAAATTCATATTTTTGACTTTCCATAGAAAGCTCAATGCTTACTGACATGCTCTCTTAAAAGGGAATTGTGGGTATTATGAAGCATTTCCGGTATTTGATTGGTGATACTTAAACTAAAAGTCGTTAGAAAACTCGCTTATAAACGATTGATTTGTATCGTGCCTAAATGACGGTTATCTGACTATTTTCTGTTTGCTTGATTTTCAACAAGAAAGCCTAATAACGCAAAAAATATATCCACTTTCGTTCAGTTACGGCTTCAAGCAAATAAGATTTCTCACAGAAAAATGCAATTTTTAAAACTGACATTATTTGTTAAACAAATGATTAATAATTGTAGAATTAGCAAAAACTTATAAAATATCTCGGAATTACATTTCAGAGCTAAAAGAATTCAGGACATATACACATATCGGCATTATGATATGTTTAAAAAAGAAAAAAAACGTGTCATTGGTCAAGTTCAAGGTCACCAAGTCAGTAACCCTCGACTTTTACAAAAACTCTTGTGCCAAATTATTCAAGAACAAAATATTAAATATCCTACCTCTTGCAGTTTTAAAGATATAAGGCGTGACAGAAGGACGAATAGACGGACTGACAGCGGGCAAAGTGATCCCAAATGTCGCTTTACTTTACAGGCGATACAACCATGCATATCTTCGCCACTTCTTTTATTCTGGTAACCATATAACAAGATACAAACAGATCCAAACAGACATGATCCCCTTGCGTCTTTTGTGCTCATAGACCACACATATTGGATGTTGGATGCATAGGCGTCGGAAGCAAATTGAAAGTAGGGTGGCTAATTGAAAGGGGGGTGGGGGGGGGGGGGGCTAAACCAACCAAAAAAGGTAAGCCCCAATTTCCAATGCCTATATTATGTCTATCTTTGCAAAACAAAAGTGAGGGGGGGGGCTAAGCCCCCCTAGCCCCCCCCCCCTTCGGTTCCGACGCCTATGGGATGGATCAAATGAAAATTTTTAATTCATGTACAATCAAAATACTCAATGGGGATGTCCTTTTTGAGTGCATTTAAGAACCTTAATTCTGAATCAGATTCTTGGATACAATTACTTTAATATCTTCAAGAAATTAAAAATGTGTTTTACAAAATCTGCATACTCGATGCACATATTTTGATTAAGATGTACTTATTGGTACAATATTTATGTGCCTACATATTGTAACAAGATTTCCTAGTAAGTATATTCACAACAAGATTATGTTTTCCGATACATTCATCCATAACGTGTACATCATCACAATTTGTTTCACCACAACAAAGTCAATAATCAAGCAAATTTTTATCCAATTCTTTCAAAATCGTTTTATATTCTATGTTTATTCGTGAATCATCAGACTGATCAAGGTTGGTTCCTTTTCGTATTTACTGGACGAGTGCCCTTTATTAGAATTACTTCCCTTGTCATCCCACGCCATTGTTACTTCCCTTGCTGGAGGAAGGCTAGAGATCACCGGTAGATGGCTCTGTAGAGCAGGATCAATGGTGTCATCCAATACTTGATGCGTCTTCTGAAGAGAAATTCATGTTAATTTTTAATGACAACATGAAGTAAATTGGCTGAAACAATATAAAAAACACATTTCTTTCATAGACATTGTATATACACGTTCAAACACGTATTCTTTATGTACATATATATATTGACGAAAGACCATCTTGAAACTCAGAGATGTACAGATCAACTAAGCATTTCTTTTTTTAAGTGAAAAAGGTGAAGATAACGCACAGAGATCGATCTCAGAAATCTACAAATAATACAAATCTGTGGACAGGGCATAAATCACGGACCCCCAGAAATCCCAGAGGTGGGATCAGGTGCCTAGGAGAAGTAAGCATCCACTGTTCACGATCACACCCACTGTGAGCCCTCTGTATTGACAGGTAGACGGAACATTCCGTACTCAAATCCGTTACTTTAGTTTAAGCAGGTATGAAACACGTCAGCGGAAATACGACCCAACGATAGGTTACCTTTTTAACGAGGTTATTATAACGACCATAGAATTACTAAATGTTGACGAGGTTGTTGAAATCCCTGTAACATCAACTTATATGTCAGTAGCTTGCCTCGGTTTAAAAACTGATCGTACTCGGAGTATGCTCTTGAGTATCGAATAAGTTGGGAGACTTAAAAACCATATGCAAGTGATAGCGGAATATTACTACATAAGGAAAGTTGACCATAGAAAAGCTATTTTATTTGTCATACAATTATTGTTGTTAATTGGCACTTATCGTCTATAGTCAGTAAAAGATCCAAATATAAAACAGATGTGGTAAAACTCTGTGGTGTCTTTTATTTCAAGTTCACTGGGATATATCGAGTCATTATATGAATTGAAGTAACCAGTATTAATTGATAAATCATCGTCGATATATCTTAATGTCGAGCTAGCTGCCGCAGCAAGTGTTTTCTTCTCTTCCAGAAGTGTTTTTAGATAAATTCTGCTTCATTAGTCAGCCCACGGGCTGACTAGTTACGGTGGGATGAAACTGCAAGTGCGCTTGCTTAATTTGGAATTCTGGGAAAAAGATGTACACGACTTGTTCTAAAGAAACTCGTGCTATTTGCTCCAACCAAAGGGCGTGATTCTTCACAAACACCCTCTAAACAAAGACGCGACCTCGATCTATTTATAGACTGCATTGTTCTTCGTCGTTCTCGACGAAAAATTAAAGAAGAGATTGTTCTAAGTGGGAAATATGATACTATGAAAATATTTCAGTGCTCCTTATAGAAGATGAGAAGTTTATATGCAAAGCAATTTAACACTTGATATATATACCCTCAATCGCCGTTGCAAGTTCACGGATTCGTGTGTATTCCTCTGAATGCCTGATGCAAGACTCCCTCGATCAATACCTTGCATAAGACATGTACGGATCGGAATTCACACAATAATCCACTTGCACAAAAGGTCCCAAAACAGCGAAAAAAAGAATCTCTTTTCACTTTAATGATAAAAGTTATGAAAACGTCAGAAGATCACTTAAGATGTGTAAAGTCTTATAATTTACACGATGAAAGACATGTAAGTGCCGCTTGTGCACGTGAACCGCGCCCACAGGTGATAAACTGACCACAGTAGAACTTGAGAGTTGAGAGAAACTGCGCGGATTTATAGACAGCCCCCCCCCCCCCCCCCCCAATTAGAGAGAGTAAGCGAGATGGAATCCAGTATCATTTTAGGGTATACGTACTGTATACAGTATAAAATATTTTGAATTTCCAGTTTATTACTTTATTTTGGAAGCAATTCTTTTCTTTCCTAATAACACTAAAATGAATGCTTAAATTTAGAAATTGAATTAAATATACATACAGTATGCACCCCTCCCCCTTCCCCTATCATGCATTGCCTCGAACCTGCACGATTAAAAACTTTTATCTAATAATAATTAACACAATCTAACCCAAGGTATACCTTCCTTTTAAGCATCATAATCTATATCATTTATAGAATTTAACAGTAAAATTGAAAATGTATACATTCTTCAACGTTCAATGATTGGGATCATAGTGCCTTTGTTCATTTCTGACACGAACTTTATCTCATGGCCGTAGGAACCGGGGGGGGGGGGCACGGGGACCGTGCCCCCTCCCCCCAAATATTCGATATATAGACTACTATAGAAAACATAGCTACTATATGCTTGTGCCCCCTCAATAAAAACGTCTGATGACCTTTTTTTTTTTATTTATTTATTTATTTTTTTTGCTTGTCAAGGAATTTTTGGTAGTTAATAGTGCCCCTCCAACTGAAAATGTATGACTGTGCCCCCCCCCCCCCCCACTGAATTGCTTCCTACGGGCCTGTATCTGATGTCCGCGCCCAGGAAGTCATCATAAAGATCACGATGTAGTCTAACTAAAATTTATTCTATGCTTTATCATTTATTATGTACAGCATTATTTTACAAATAAGAAAACGACTGGGCGAATTTTAACTTAGACGACAATGACTTTTAATGAACACAACATGATGGATAAAACAAATCATATACCATCACAAAACAAGAAAGAAACTTTCTGTATTCCAGAGGCTGACTCTCAGCTTTTTTTTTAAAAGCTAACCTTGTAGGAATTTGAAAACAAGTCTGCTAATAAAGGAGCACAATTAGTACCCATCGAAATTCCAACACAGTTTAATGGAAGACCTGTATACAAATATAGATGTAATGTTATTTCCATAATTTCAGGAAAGAATGGTTTGTAGCATTTGTCGTTTTTTTTTTTTAAGTTTTAATGACTGGAGACACTGTGAAGTCCGAAATTTTCCCAGGGGATGGGGTTGGGGGTGTGGTTAATTTTCGCTGTTTTGTGGTATAAAGGTATAAAAGTTTTTTTACTTTTACCTCAAAATTAAATCTACTCGAACCAGTAATGTTTTATGAAACCACGAAAATCTGACACGATAAAAATCAATTTTCTTTTCTTTTCTTTTTTTTTTTTTTTTTTTTTTTTTTTTTTTTTTTTTTGAAAATGGGCTACTCAATAGATTAGAATTGGCAATAACTCAAAAAAAAAAAAAAAAAAAAAAAACCACACACACCCTCACTGTATGAAAATGTATGAACAAAGAAGTTAGCTGGCAAAAATGTACAAGTAGAAACAGTCAATTTTCAATGGTCTTTTTTCAATGAAAATGAACACACGTCCATAAAAAAAGTGTAAATCCCCTATGGTCCATTAGATTTAATTGATCTTTATTGTTATCAGAGATTTCAAGCAGTGTTACCTTTTTGCCACTGAACTGCCAAGGTACCTGTATTTTAAGAAGCAAAAGGATGTTTATTGATTTTATCTTCAACTTTGCCTTAGCGTCTTAGCCATAAAATTATAATTTCAATTCCATTAATAAACTTGAGGTAGAGTTTCAACTAATCCATATAGCTCTGTGTAACTAATACTTTATTTTATATCTTCATTCTATTTCAACAATCAATGTTCAATACTGTTAAACACAATGGTCTGCCATTTGAAATAAGGAGTAACTTTTGTTTAAATGTTGCAACAATTAGCTCCCGCTAACGAACTTGTAATGAGATCTTCAGATTTCTTTGTTCTTCTCCAATTCATCTGTTTGAAAGTTATAAGATACATTAATTTTAAAAAGGGATTTCAAAAATTGTGATGGAAAACCATACTTTGAAGGGTTTAAGAAATTATTATATTTGAATAGTTTCGCACCTAATTTCACCTCTGACAATTGCCTACAAGGCTTTCTAAATAAAGTTAAAAAATGTTTATGTATTTGGACAAGGAAGCATAAGTGAAATAATTTGTAATGAATTCTATAACATTACACGAGGATATACCACGCAGGAACTGATAAAGAGAGATACATCTAGTTTGTTTTTGTTTAACGTCCCCTTAGAGAATTTTTCACTCATATTGAGACGCCACCACTTGCCGGTGGAGAGCTGAAAATTTAGACCTGGCATTAAAGGTGCTTAGACACAGATTTAAAGTTAATATTTACTCGAATTTTCTGTATGATTTCATGACTTATATGTTGCTATAGCATTTCATATGAAAATTTGATAAAAATCTTATTTTATCTTGAAGTTATTGAAACTTCGAATTTCTGGACGCGTTTGATAGACACATCCTTGCACTTTCACAAATTTTATCTTCATCCTTATTACTTTAGAAAAGTAGCAATTTTGTTGTTTATTAATGAAAAATATTAAAACTATAATGCAGAAATTCCAGAGTAGAAATGTAGAAAGCAAAATCCTCTCACCAGTATTGTCAGTCCGTGCTTAGTGGTGTGTGCAGAGTTTAACAATTGAACACACCCGGTGAAACGTAAACATTAACAACAACAGAGCTCGTGCCCTGTTTACAAAAACAGTTTACGTTTCGCAGGTGTATTCAATTTGTTAAACTCTGTACACAACTACACAACACTGAGCACGGACTGACAATACTTAAGTGAGTGGGTTTTGCTTTGGCACATTTTTACTCTGAATTTTCTGAATTATAGATGTAATATTATTCATTAATACACAACAAAATTGCTACTTTTCTTAAGTATTAAGGATAGAGTTAAAATTTGTGAAAATGCAAGGATGTGTTAATCAAACGCCTCCCGAAATTCGTAGTTTCAATAATTTCCAGATTAAATAAGTTTTTAATTTTATTTTCGTGTGAAATGCTATAGCAACATATAAGTTGTGATATTATACAGAAAATTTGAGAAAATATAAACTTCAAATCTGTGTCTAAGCACCTTTAAGGGCCATTGAGCAGTGAGGGATCTTTTTCGTGCCAGTACCTACTGCGAAACGAGACCTCGGTTTATACGGTCTCATCCGGAGGACCGGTCTCCACGTCCCGCAGTGGGATTCAAACCCTCGAGGTAAGGATCAACTCCTTACTTCGCGACTCTAAAGCAAACGCTATAACCATCTGGACAGATTCCAAAAATAACGTAGTTCTGAATGTATTTATAAGATATGATATGCTTACTGATACATTCATAGTTACATAGATGATATCTGGAAAGCAAATGATGCCCAAAAAAAAGTCTTGAACTTATTACATTTAAATTAAATTGTATCATATTCGTAAGAAAGATTGACCGTTTATTTTCTTTGTATAAACCTATCACTAGTCCCCAAAATAGATAAACTATATTAATTTTAAAGGGATGATACCTTTTTCTTATATTTCCAATAAAGGTAAAACATTAGGCCTGCCATTGCTATGGATGCCAGCATTGCTCCTAGAGCTGGTAAAAGAGCAGAGTCTGAAATGAATGAAAATAATAACCGTATTAACGTTTTCATTCCAGTTTATGCCTGTAAGAACTGAATTCTAAACAAAGTGAGAAAATTGTATAATAAGTAGATACTTTTGCAAAAAAGAGGATGACATTTTTCTACATACACTGCAGACTTAGTAAATTATCACAAATTTAATAATTCGAGGATTTGAAAACATGAATTATAGTGAGATGCTGAGAAAATCCTATTTTAAATAAATTTGAAAGTGTCTAGTTTACCAAAAAATAAATACCTCCACTACTTTGACCTTTGTTTTCATTATTTTTGATTTTTGGTTGCGAAGTAGTAGCAACAAGTGTTCCATTTATATAGGAAAGTGGAGTTTGATTAGAAACTCCAGATGGCGTTTGATTAGAAACTCCCGATGTTGCTTGATAAGAAACACCAGATGGCGTTTGATTAGAAGCTCCAGGTGCTGTTTGATAAGAAACTTCAGATGGCGTTTGATTAGAAACTCCGAGTGCTGTTTGATTAGAAACTCCAGATGACGTTTGATTAGAAACTACAGATGGCGTTTGATTAGAAACTCCCAATGTTGTTTGATAAGAAACTCCAGATGTTGTTTGATTAGAAACTCCAGATGGACCACGTGATGCGTCTGTCGTAGTATATGTGACACTGATAGAAGACTGAAATTTCATAATAGCAGGATTTGTAAAATATTACTTTATACTGAGACAAATTGCTAAAACATAAGTCTACTTTTAAGATTTGTTTTATCAATTGTACTTGATATTTTAAAATCATTAATGAGTGAATAAGTATTTACAGTGAAATTGAATATTGAACTGGTTTTTGTTAACGCAAAATCTGTAGTAGTCTCTGCTGAACTAGATGGAGTTCTGATCGTTGATTTTTCTGTCACGGTATAAGACGTTGATTTACCAGAACTTGTTAAATTTGTTGTTGTCTTTAGTGAACTGGTGACAGGTACTGTCGCACTGATTGCTGTTAAGGCCTCGGTACTACTCATTACACCCGTCAGAGATTGATAGGTGGTTGACGAGACGCTTGTCGTGATATCAATGGCGGAAGTCGAAAGTGAAAACGATGTCGTCTCGTTAGTGCTAATTGCCGGATTGAGTATGGTGAAAGTGTCGTTGCACGAAACAGCTGGTGTGGAATTTTGGCAGATCACTGTTACCTGCTCCGAGGAATTGGTGGCTATTGAGATTCAAACAATTCTATCAATTTGATAAATTCCCAGAAAAAATTGCTCCGTATCTTATTATTGTACAGTTTAACGATAATGCATTAATGAATGACAATGAAGAAATATGATTAACGACACGTGATATAATTATACATATATTTATCATATGCCTGCTCCTTTACCAAGTGAATATTTTCATTAGAACTTTTTTCATATCCCAAAGGCTTGTGATTTGTAATTAAAAACGTGTATGTGCATTTGTAAAAAAACGGAACTTCTAGGTAGAATTCAAATTAAATAAAGTTAAATGATTGAAAGAATAATCCTACTTTTGTCTTGAAGTTCTTTTCATGACACAACTTATGGCACTATATTGTAGAAGACGAGATTTTAGAAAGCCCCGACTGGTTTAGTATACATTATTATATGTATATATTATATATATAACTGGGATTTTATTTTTGTTACCCTCAACTTGAATCCAAAATTTTCCAGCCGTTGACGTATCTGTATTATCTAATCGTATATCGATGCTGCTGGAATTACTCGTATACAGAGTTGTTCGAGCAAAATTGTTGACGTCATCACACGCAACGTCAGTAGTCGAAGCGCCATCTGTTATGAAAAGTCTTTGTTTACAAACACCCGAATTCTCACTGAACTGCAGATCGAATCCCGTGATACGAATTGTGGAGTCTCTGCTTGCCGTGACCTTGCACGTAGCTCCGGAGGTAGTGCCACAAGGCGACATTTCTAACGGATATCCTGCGCTGGAGAGGAAGATTGACTGTGCTGTTTGTGAGGCATTACTGATGGATATCACGTCAGAATCTGAAATTTAACACAAAATTATTTTATATTCCAACTTTTATCTTTTCATTCCCTTTCTACGTGTCTTTAGCTTCCAGGCTGGGTTTTAGAGTTTTGAGCAGAATTTTTTATGTTCTATGTAACAGAAATTGCTTAACAAGTTTAATTAAGGTTTCATGTATAATTTATATAAAATCACAAAATTATTCAACAATACTAAGGGACAAATACGAAATTTAGGGGAATATATTTCAAAAAATGACATCTGATAAGGGAACCCGTTTGATTGATTGATTGTATGCTGTTTTAAGCCCAATTAGAGAAATTTTCACTCATAAAGAGACGTCACCCTATACATGTACCAGTGAAAGGCTTCAATTGCAGACTTTAACTCGGCACTCAGGGCCATTGAGCAGTGAGGGATTTTTATCTTTCCAACTCCTGACACGGAGCCTTGGTTTTTAAGGTCTCATCCGAAGAACCCGCAACTTTCATTTCCAATTGCCAACGCTTGGCGAAGGAACAGTTGTTACCTATTTCTTATCGACTTAGACAGTCGCGGCCGAGACTGTGATGGTTTTAAGGGAATGTGAGGACAAGTATTGTTTAATGATTTGCGTGTGTCTTTGAAAGAACAATAGGAAATAGTAGTATCATACAAAAAAAAATTCTTTGCCCTTCGAACAATATACATGTACTTGAAATTTTCTTAATTATGAAATTCCTAATTAATACAGGAACAGCATCTTTTACGACTTGATTATAGAGGGGGATCATTGTAATTCGATGGGGTTCAATTTGATGGATTTCCAAGTTCTATTACCTAATAAGTATTATAATATACATGTATATTTACAATCCCAGTGGATATTGTAAGTATAGGCTATAATTTTTAAAACTATACGTTAAACCACAAAATTACGCCAATAAACCTGTGAAATTTAACCCCCCCCCCCACAAAAATTAACCCCTAACAAATTAAAACATTCCAACATAAACAGCACTTATTATACATTCTGTTACTTAGAATCTCTGTGTTCATCTGTCTAAAACCAAGCCATATCTGACCTGGTAGGCAGTTGTACCACATTTTCATGTAATTAGACCTCTCCATGAATATATTGCTGTCACAGACGTCTGACGTATAGTTCCAGGAGACTTGAACTCCCTGTAAACAGTTCTGACGACCTGAACATCTGGAATAATGTTCATGTTCATAAGGCACTGCTGTACCATAATACCTCTTCCCACAATCCTCTGTTTCGTTGACGTAATTGCAACAATAAGTTATGTTCCGGTTTGTAGCATAAGAAATAGCAGGGCAGTTCCGGTCCTTTCTTTTAGAATATGTGTAGACGTCATACACATATATCTTTTGTCCTTGTGGGCAAGAGGGTTTCATGTAGTCTTCAAACCCATTACCATAACAGGCCTGGAAGGTGTAGGTTGATAAACATTGTGTACCTACAAACAGAGCAAGAAATGGCCACCAAACAGTTGGAAATGATATTTAGAAATATTCTTTAAAAGGACCCTGCCTCAATTCCATCATATATTTTTTTGTCATGTTTATTTTTTTGTTACTAACAGAGTTACAATTTAAGGACCCCTTTATAAGAAAGCTTTTTAAAGCATTTATGGGCTATCCGTTAGTATATTTATCATCTTTATGTGATGTAACTTACATGACATACAGATGATAAATATTACCTAAGGATAGCCCATAAAAGCTTTGAAAAGCTTACTTCTGATGCGGTCCTTAAACTATATCTGTTAGTAACAAGTATATGTGCCTAAGTAGACCTTTAACAAGTTGCATAGTGCTGAGATAATGTCTGTTTTCTATCTATTATATGTAATTATAACATTCTAATTTTACCTGAATAAAGCGAAATGAAATATTAATTTTATATTCCCATCAATGTCTTTCCTAAATTGAGTAGTTCACTAATCCTCTTTAAACATACAGTTATAACAAGGATGAATATCTCAAATGCATAACATAGTTCTTGTTGATATTTGAGATTCGGTGAGAGTTCATACTGATAAAACAGTTAAAAATCAAGTGATTTTACTACCGTCATAATTATTTTTCAGTAGTTACGATATATATTTGAAAAAAGATCAAACAATATACTCATATTTTATTTGAGAATTTTAAACGATGTAGATTTATGAAAGTTTGAAATAAAATAAGGCTTTTGTTGACACTTCATTTCCAAACTTTTCATAATGATTTTTTTTCTTTCTTTTTAAAGAAAAAATAAAGATAGTAAAGGTTAGGTTATGAAAACTTACCTTTGTAAGTCCAGAAGTATAGGAGTAGAATATAAAACAACCAAAATAATAATTTTGCCATTTAAAAGAAAGATCCTTAGAGCATAGATTAAAAAAGTAAAAGTACTTAAAAATTAAAACAAAAGTTATCAACGTAAAAAAAAATCATGAATGGATGGTCAAAGATTTGCCAAGATACCTTTTACAAACGAGTATTCATTTGAGATTAAGAAATCCGTAAAATTGACTTATTTTTGTTCATTTATTGAGAAATAGTCAGGCGTGTCCTAATTCGACACTGCCTATAGAAAGTCAGGTAGGAAATGTAATGCGAGACACTTTGACTCGGTTTACCCTCATTCTTTACAATTATCAAGCAGTGATTGAATACACATCTTAGTTATAATAAAAAGAAGGATAGAGGTTTAAAAATAAAACTTAATTGTCTTTTGGAATTTTAAATATCGATTAATTAACAATCAAAACAATCTACAGATCACTTATACTTTTCCGTTTTTACCCTTTTACATTGTATTGTAATACACTTTATCTATTCATGTCGGTAATGAATCTCATATATATATTTATATATGAAGCCCTGTAAAAAAAGACACGTTACGTAATTAATAATTAAAAATTTCTATGTCGATTTGAAAGTGCAATTCAAATGTTCAAATGCGAAACATCAACGCGAATTAACAACTTTACCCTTTAAAAAATATTTGCTTTAAATTGCCTTTCGTGATATTGTACGACAGTGACAGAGTCGTCTTTATAACACTAGGGAGTTTCTTAATCACGTTTCTTGAAAAATACGCATCAGAAATATACATCATATTGAAGTTCATTTAGTAAAAAGCCGTGACTTTTGAAGAATGAAACCTTCCAAATTAAAAACAGAATTATTACATATGTAGGAGTAACTTTTTCATATACATATTTTAATAACTAAACTTACATGTATTAGACCTTTCAGAGAAAAAAAATAACGGCAAGGCCACCTTTAAAATAATGTTTGTTTGCCCTCTCCCGACGCAGGGTAAAATTATTGGGTCGGTAGGTAGGTGGGAAATTTTTTTTCCCGAAAATTTCAACATATTTGTTGACGGGATAAGAGGAATTAAAAGAAAAAAAGATATCGTATCCTGGAATGTAAAAAAAAAAAAAAAAGTTTTGAGTCGGGCCATTTTTAGTCAGTCGGTCGGGAGAGGGCAACCAAACAATTTTTTAAAGATGGCCCAAGGTGTTGAAAGCTGCAAGCTACAACTGTTTAATAGTAACAGATAGAGCTAAATAACTAAATATCGAGAATGCTGATAATGTGGGATAAAGCTTTCGATTATACTACACATTGTGTCAAGAGTACGCAGAAACGTGCACTGATTTATATAGTCAAGCCTTGATATCAGAAACTCAATTGGGCCGAGAACATCTCCGAGATGTCTGAGAATTTGAATTATTGAGGATGAAATAATTGTTATACTGTGATGAATATGTATTCCGATGCCTCATGTTTTGGTTGTTTGTTTATTTTTTAACGTCCCTCTCGAGAATTTTTCAATAATATGGAGACGCCACCAATTGCCGGTGGAGATATACTCGGCACTTAGGACCATTGAGTATAGTGAAGGATCTTTTCGCGCCAGCACCTACTGCGACACAGGGCCTCGGTTTATACGGTCGACTCCTTACTCCGCTACTCTAGAACGAACTCTCTAACCTCTGCGCCACGCGGGCGACACGATGCCCCATGTTGTCATATAAACAGATACTATATTTGTTTTATTAACATGGAAGATCGAAGTAGAATTCCAGAGAGTTACTAGAATAGTAAAATCAGATCATTTTTTTTTTCTCATACCAGAAGTTTTGTCTATCCCCAAACTTTAGATTAGAATTAGCATTGTATTTTCTCTGGATTTGTTACAGAATACAATACAAACACGTGTTTCCATCAAATGCTATACACATGGTAGTTTTATTTATCAAACATATAAACATAACTAGCTTCTTGTTATTCGATTACTCTCTATAGATTCCCAAGTTATAAATACACCGTTAGAGAGTAACAAAATGACGAGTTCAATCTGGAATTTCAGTTCCTGAAAGTAAAATTCCTTCTCTTTTCCTGTATCTAAGATGTACATGTTGTTCATTCAACTTTACAGAACATATCGTAAAATACCCTTTTTTCATTTTCTTTTGAAAATAAGTAAAGGGATATGTTTCATGTTTTCTAAAAAAAATCAAAGTAAAACGTTCATACCAGATGCGCCATAATTTGATACATGTTTAAATTTAAACGGTGCTAGGTTGAAAAATTACGCTCACTAAAACACTCATCGGACCTATTACTTCAAACAATATAGTAAACTGTTTAGAGTCTACTGTGATTGTGTAAATAAGCAGTAAATACTCTCTTTGTTTATTTAAACAACATTTAACGATTGCAACATTACAGAGAGAGAGAGAGAGAGAGAGAGAGAGAGAGAGAGAGAGAGAGAGAGAGAACGTATAAACAATTTATGTATTTTTTCTGCAATATCTGTGGTCGTTAATCCCCTTATACCCCCCCCCCCTTTAAAATAAATAAATTAAATAAAATAAAAATAAGAAGGTTTTAATGACTGTTCATATTTATACCAGTCTTTAAAATATTCATATTCTCTGGACTAAAATATAGAAATTTAAGCCATTTTATCATGTATATAACCACGAAAGCCGGATAGGCTCATTTTTGACAAGACAAAAAAATTTAACTCGTTATAACGAGATAATTATCTCGTAATAACGAGTTAGTATCTCGTTATAACGAGTTAATATCTCGTTATAACGAGTTAGTTATCTCGTTATAACGAGATAATTATCTCGTTATAACGAGTTAGTTTTCTCGTTATAACGAGTTAGTTATCTCGTTATAACGAGTTAATTATCTCGTTATAACGAGTTAGTATCTCGTTATAACGAGTTAGTTTTCTCGTTATAACGAGTTAGTTATCTCGTTATAACGAGATACTAACTCGTTATAACGAGATAATTAACTCGTTATAACGAGATACTAACTCGTTATTACGAGATAATTATCTCGTTATAAGGAGTTAAATTTTTTTTATCTTGTCAAAAATGAGGCTATCCGGCTTTCGTATATAACAAATATAATTATTACTTATTTTTTATGATTTTAATGAGAAGTCGAGCTACATGCCAATGCACTCTTCCAAAACACTACATTTTATGTTTACATTTCTATAATACTTTTCAAAAAGTAGTCGAGGAATATGTATATTCATACGCTTGCAGATGGCGTTAAAAAACGGATCTAATTTTTTTAGTTATTGTGTTAATTGCTTCGCTAAATTAAATGTTTTTATCAAAAAATAAAGGAGAAAACACTCAGTTCATGTAAACATGAATTCTATAAATGCAAGATTACATTGTTCACGTTATGGTAATATCCTGAAAGCATACATGCCAGGTCTGAATAAGACGTAATGTTCTGTAATGGATACAGAAAATGCCGTTTATTTATAGATTTTAGAGGAGCTGTATGTTCAATCTTTAGTATGGAGATTTCAAAGTAACCAATTCCTTTCTCGGTTTACTAGAATTAAGCAGGTGAAGAAATATTTAATGGTATAAACTCCATGACTGATCTTTAGAAAGAGTTTTAAAAGCATTAAATTAGGCTTAATTGGAAAGAATTTTAATTGCAATTCTCTAGCTAGCACGCATAGCATGCATAGTCACAGAATTTCTTCAAACTTTCTATGGTAAAAAATGTTGATTCAACAAACTTAAATCCGAAAAAAACGTTGCTTTGTGTCATGGTTATCATGGCAACATATTTTAGATTTCAAAAATAGCATTTTTAGCACGCTCAGAGTCCTATCAGAGTTCCAACGTTGGCAGAGAAGTGACAGTGACTGGATTTGATGTCCTGTATACAAGTAAAAATATTTGGAAAACAACCATTACATACGTATACGTTACCATGTAGCAAAGTTTTGAAATGCTATATTTTTTTTCAATCAGTTTTATTAGAAATATGATAATTTTCATTATTTGGCAATGGTTTTTATGGCACTCTATCCGGAAAATGATTTTTATTTAACTTGCATCTGTTTTTATTATTTTTATTACAGAGCATATTCCTTTATGACTGGAAAGCTATCCTAAAGGCAATGGTGTGGTCTGATTTTCCACATTTAAAATAAACCAATTGAAACTTTATACTAAAACAGAGTGTTTCTATAAGAAATATACATTTAAAAATCTGAAACGTTTTCATTTTACTTGGTTGCGTACTTTTGTATGTATAAATGCCCAAAATTTATGTATACAAGTTATGACCCTCATGTAATCTCTAACAGGATGCAAGAAGCCACACGAGGTTCAATTTTGCTACGAAACTAGGA